GCGACCCGGCGCTCCCAGAAGGCGACGGAGCGGCTGATCCGCAAGCTGCCCTTCCAGCGGCTGGTGCGCGAGATCGCGCAGGACTTCAAGACGGACCTGCGCTTCCAGAGCTCGGCCGTGATGGCGCTGCAGGAGGCGAGCGAGGCCTACCTGGTGGGGCTCTTCGAGGACACCAACCTCTGCGCCATCCACGCCAAGCGCGTCACCATCATGCCCAAGGACATCCAGCTGGCCCGGCGCATCCGCGGCGAGCGCGCCTGAGGCCCCCGACGCAGCCCCTTCCTCTGTCATCCTTCATCCCCACACCCTAAAGGCTCTTTTAAGAGCCACTACGTTGCACAAGAGGGCTGTGACACGGTCTTTTTTGGGTACTTCGATAGAAGGCTTCTTCACCCTGGAGTTTATGAAAGTAAGTTCAAAAGTTCAGTAAGTTCTGAGATCTGCTTTAGAAGTACTAACACTCCCAGTATTTTGTTTGTTTCTCTCCTACTCTCCCCACCTGTGCACTCGGCTGTTTTACACTGTTGTCAAGAGACCTTTGCAATCAGACCCCAGAATTTCAGTGAAAAATATATGCATAAGCCTTCCTAAGCACTTGTCTCAAACTGTTTTGTTTTCTGACCAGTCTTGCATGCTGTGATTGTGAGAGGCTTGGAAATGCCCAGTTGACTACAGAAAAGTAACTGCACAAATCAAAGAAAGGGAGAGAAGGTAAATGGAAAATACCTTTAATTTAATAATCATGTCTAAAGTTATACTCTTAAAAAAAATAGGATGGAAAGCTTATGATAATTCCTTCCCTGCCCCCTCCCAAACTTGGTATTTCCTGTAAGATATTTTAGTTTACAATGGTGTTTACGGGGCAGTGCAGGCTTTTAAGCAACGTGGAAGTCATAGCCTCTGTTAGTATTGGGAGACAAGCTCCAAACAGCTTTTTATTACAGATAAATTGATGTAAATACACCTTATCGTTGCTCTTATAAGGATATGCTCTGATATATGCCAAAAATCCCAATGACGTATCAGATACCTGAGAGCTATGCCTCTCTAAGCATGAGGTAGATAAAATGAAAGTGGTGAGAAGCCTAATGCCAGGGACGAAAATGGGAAATCCAATTATTCAAATTACTCTAATTGCAATTTCTAGTCTCATGTTTCTTAGTTTGCCTTTTCTTCAAGGAAAGGCTGGAATAGAGGGCAAAATGGAACTGGGAAAAAGCAGGGAGGATCTGGTGGGTGCTCCTGGGAAGTCCCCCATCCCTCTTTCCAAATAAAGGGAGAGCCCTGGCACAGAGGCTTTTGAGCTTGGTGATAAAAAGAAGTTGGAGTCAGCAGAGGACTTGATCCCGTGGAGGGATGAGGACATCAACACTAGAATTTATTTGATTCAATAAAATTTTGTAGTCAGGAAATGAGTTGGCCTTCGGTTCACTTCTGTTCCTCGCTTGATTGTGTAGTCTTGCAGCCTCTCGCTGTTTTAGTATTTCAGAGAGGTCACTGTTTCTATTTGTTCACAAATAAAACATGCAGATTCCTGCGGCTTCCGCTTCTTTGTTGTCACAGCATCTTTTCCCCTGCCCTTGATGATGGATCCTGGCCCATCCAGTATGCTTCTCTAAATGTCACCAGCCAAATCGCTCTGATGTGAAAGTTCTTGTATTTGAGTACAGCACCTGGGGAACCCTGCAATAAGTTTCATGGGATGTGTTTCAGAAACACCACACAGGAGGTAAAACATGGTAGGTAGATAAAACTAATACTCATAGTGTAGCAATGTAGGTATGAATGTATACACACACAAATATGTACATATTCTATGTGTATATACACACATACATATGCTTTTTCTTCACTCACAAATTTTAATTCCTCCCAGTATCCATTCACCTCAGCCTCTTTCCCAGTCCCCTCGGCCCCAACACCACCCAGCTTTATCCACCTGGCTTTATTTTTCTGTAGTTCCAGCAATATGCTATGGTAGATTAAGTTAAAGAAGCAACTTGGCTCTTGGATGATCATCGTAGGTCCCTTCCAACTGAAATATTCCATTCTATTAATCTCTCTGTATGTGACCAATTGCAGAGTAAGGGGTGACAATTCTATGAAGTTAAAAGTGGAAGTGCTCCTGCTGGAATAGCATAGAGACCGTGCATATAAATATAATTTAAGAGTTATATTATTAGAATTTTAAAATTAACTGTATGTCTGGCTAAACTCTTGAGACTTCAGCAGGCTCCACCCTGACTGCAATTTTTGTTCTACATTAATGGTATGTTATTAACAAACGATTAAGTCTGTAGCTGGGCACCACTTCGAGGTGTTGAAGTGTTCAAGGCCAGGTTGGACAGGGCTTTGAGCAGCCAGGTCTAGCAGAAGGTGTCCCTGCCCGTTGCAGGGGGGGTTGCAAGTGGGTTATCTGTAAGGCCCCTTCCAACCCAAACCATTATGTGATTCTGTGAGGTTCACAAAGGTTACAGTGGCTAAAACCTGAGAGTTGTTACAATTGTAAATAAATGAAGAGCGAGGTCAAAGGGTGAACAAAAATGACCTTATTGGAACAGGCACTGGGTGCTGGCTTATAGTGTACACCCAGGCTCCCTTGCTGACACCAGACTGTGGTGTCTGCTCTCAAAAGCGAAGGAGGAAATGGTTCATTGTGACCGATAAGCAGTTACTAACTTGTCCCCAGGTCTTGTACCAGTGCTATCCAGTAAAACTGCTAAAAAGGACTGGGTAGGATCTTACAGTGTTAAGAACGTGGTACTCGTTAGAAGACAGAGTCCAGGTCTCTGCCTCCTCCATTTTACTTTTTCCTCCCCGGTTAACACTAAATCTGCCCTAGGACAAGTGAACCAGTAGACGCAAGGACTGAGGTTTTGCTTTTGCCGTCTGACCTTGAAGAGAACACAGAACTGTTGTAGCCTGGTGGAAGGTTTCCTTCACTCCCCAGGCTGCACGTGAAAAGTCTCTTCTCTCCTCACTCTGCCTCTCAAAACAAGGGGAAATCTCAGCTCTGCCATAGTATAAAACGTCAATTCTAAAACCTGCCAATATTTTTTTCCCCACGTCTTTTGGGTTTATTGTATTCTGATTCACTATGAACTCTGAAAAGGTTTTACTTTGCACACACATAGAGGTGAAGTCTATCTTAAAAAAATTACTGATACATCCTGTTTGAAAGACACACACATACTGGAGTGGCTCCCCCGTCCCCCCCACCCTCCAGCGCCA